AACCAATGGCCTCGCTGGTGCCAAGTCTCCAACTGTCCTTTTCTTAATCCTCAACCCTAAATGAGGTCACAAAGAGTCAAACGTGGCTGAAAAGCAACTCAGCAACAACAAAAAAAATGTAGATGATTCTCATATCTGTTTAACCCTTAACTTCTCTCTTGACCTCATCTCACATTCTCATCTGCCTATTGGACATCACAAACTAGGTATCTTAAACTCAATATGACTAAAAATGACCTTATTATCTTTCCCTCCTAACCTTCTCTTCTGAACTTTCCAAATATCGTTGAGCACTATACTCCCAGAGCTACCCATACTCAAATCCTTGCCTCTTCACATCCAGTAAGTTGCCAAGTCTACCCTTATAACATCTCTCATACCAATCCCCTCCTCTCCTGTGACACTGCCACCACCCTGGTACAGGCCCCCATCACCTCATGCTTAAACCATGTCAGTAACCTCTTGGTTGGTTTCCCTGCCTCAATTCTCTCCCCACTCCAGTCCATCCTTCACTAAGCTAACAAAGTGATCTTCCTAAAGCAAAGGTCTGACCATGCCACCCTTCTGCTCAGTAAACCCCAGTGTTTCCCCATTACCTCCAGAATCAAATATGAAATCCTCTCTTTGTCATTTAAAGCCTTTCATAACCTGGATCCTCTTACCTTTCCAGTCTTCTTACACCTTACTCCCTACTTACTACCTACTCAGCGATCCAGGGACACTGGCCTCCTTTTCTTTTCTTTTCTTTTGTTTTTTGACAATGGCCTCCTTGCAGGAAACATCTCCTGACTCCAAGCAGTCTCTCATATGTTGCATGCTCATTCTTCTCATCTCCATCTCCAGGCTTCCCTGTTTTTTTTTTTTTCCCCACAAGTCTCATTTAAAATCCCACCTTCTGCAAAAAGTATTTCTTAATCTAATGCTCAGACCTTCCGGGGGTGTGCTGGTGAATGTTAAACAACCAACTGGGGGTGGGTGGGTGTATGACACACTTTATGTTGAATATGCATTATTAACATTTTCTTCGTCACTTTATTAGGTTCAGACAATCAACAAGACAATAATCAAGTCCTGAATTGTAGCATTTGCCAGTTTCCTCTGGGTAAATGCTCACAATGGAAATTTACCAACCAGCTTTCCTGAGTTCCCCCTTCTTTCTGAAATTGTCCCCAACTTCTGTCTATATCTCATTTGTTCATAGGCGTTTGAATGTCATTTCCCCCACTGCATTGTGAACTCCTTGTGGGTAGAAACTGGTTTTTGCTTTTCTTTGTATCCCCAGAGTGATGTTAGGCTGGGAAACGTAGACACTTACTCATGGGAGGTGGGGAGAGGAGACAAAACCTGGAGACCTGTGTCTTCTTGAGGACATCCCTACCTCCCTGACCTATGGGACCTCTCCTTTCCCTTGACATTTCATCTTTCCTAGATTCTTAAACTTTTCTGAGGGGATTGGGCAGTAGGACTTAATATGGGGGCCACTTTGTGAGGCGAGAGGGGGACAGGCGGAGCACAAAAAAAGAAAGGGAGACTGCTTCTGAGCCCCAGCTACAGGGCTGTGCTTTTTAGGTGATGTCTCTTCCTTCCTGTACTTGGGGACTTTTTATTTATCAAGAAGCTTTACTTTCCCAAGCTGCTAAACTTTTTTTTTTTCTGGGGTGGGAATAGAGTGAGCCTGGGGCCCGAGTGTACCTGGAAGAATGGAGAAAACCTCCTCCCTGCCGGGCTGTTTGCCCTTAGTCACAACATCACGGGCCTCAGCCCTGGAAGGATCAATGCTCCTGTGCCCTAAGGGAATCCAGATTTCAGAAGTCTTTCTGAAAGAATATTAGATCCCAAGTCAGGAGACCTGGGTTCTAGCCCCTGCTCTTATACCAACCTTGAGTGTTTCTTTTCCCATCTATTTCAACCAGTTTCTTATTTTTTAATCAATAAAAATTAATTTTCAAAATAAAAGCTACATGTCAAAAAGAAATGCATAATAGAAATGTTAGTTATAATCAATTATGCAAACAACTTCCATTTATTCTTTATTACCAAATAACTAATACACATTTTCTTGACTGTTCTTTGCAGTCCCACCTATGAGCCCTATTCAAGAAATTACTTTGATTTAGGGAAATTTTCAACCAGTTTCAAATTAACCTAACTGCATCACTGTCTAGTTTACATTCCTGCATCTTTGCTATAAGTATAACAGGAAGGACTTTGTCAAATGTTTGACTAGTCTCTATATATTATGTCTACAATCTTCCTTTGCTGTACCGGTCTAGCTGCCTTGTCTGAAAGGAAAATGTAGTTAGTCTGGTATGACCTGTTCTTGATAAAGTTGTGCCTACTCTCAGTGATTACTGTTTTCCTTTCTAGATGTTGACAAATCATCCCTTTAATGGTATGTTCTAGAATTTTGCCAAGATTGAAGTTGTGCTTACTGGCCTACAAATACCAGGCTCCGTTCTCTTCTCTTTTGTGAAAATCAGAACAATATTTGCCCGTCTTAAGTCCTGAAGCATCTCTCCTATTCTGCAGTATCTTTCAAAGATCAGCAGCAGTCACTCAGTAATCCCATCCTCAGATTCTTTCAGCACCCTGTCATTTGGGGCCTGATGGCTTGAACTCACCAAGGGCAATTAGATGCTCTCTTATTATTTCCTTAATTACCTTGGCCTTCAACTCCCTATTTGCTGATTTTGTTTTGTCCTCTCCATCCCAAAGATATTTCATCCTGGCAGAAAGAAGAGAAGAGAAGAAAGAAAAAGAAAGAAAGAAGGAGGGAGGGAAGGAAAGAAAGAAAGAAAGAAAAAAGAGCAGCCCTGTGTATTATCCATTATCAACCCATCTTCCCTGAGCAGCATTTCCATCCCTTCTGTGATCCTCCTCTTTCCACCAGCATAGCTACAAAAACCCTTTTTGTTGTCCTTAGCATTCTCTGCCAGACTTAGCTCATCCTGAGCTTTAGGCCTTTTCATTCTTTTTCGTCTGTCCCACAGGTCCTTGCTTAGTATAACTTCTTGAGGAATATTCAGTTTGACAGTTTGGTCATATGCCACTGTGCTCAGAATCATAGAATTGTCAGAGCTAGAAGGGACCTTAGATATCATTGAGTTTAACCCCCTCATTTTTACAGATGGAGAAACTGAGATCCCAAGAAGTAAAGTGGGCCACTCATGGTTGCACAACTAATATATGACAGAGCTGGAACTTTTAACCCAAATCTCATTCCAAGTTCAGTTCTCTTTCACTATGTACTGGCCAGCTTACTAGCCTTCTGCCAGATGGGCAAAATGCTGTGATGAATAAGGATCCAGGTCTTCAGATATCATAATCAAAGCTTTTTGGGCAGCAGGACAAATCCTGCCGGACATGACTAGGGCTACGGAAGGTTATAGGTGAACTCAGCAGGCAGGAGAAGGAGGTTCAGATAAGTGGGCAGCCAGTATCAGACACATGACAGTGAGGAGGCAGAGCATTATTTCCAGGGAGTCTGGAAGTATATTGATAGAGGCACATGGGCAGCAGTTATTACAACCAAGCCTCAAAGGCGAGAATCTTCTTCTTAGAAGTAAGTTTCCTATCATTGGAAGTCTTCAATACTACTGTTAGAGTTTTTATAGTTAAGATTCATGCTTCAATTAATTCAACAACAAACATTTATTAACCATCTGCTATGTATAAGTTACAAAATTTGGAATATTGAAAATAACTTGAAATATCACAATATCTAGCTTTAATAAACTTACAACCTAATGTGTGTCTATAGGGGAGATTTGAAATGTACAGAAATAAATGATACAGATTAGGATGTAATTGAATACAAAGAAGAGGTCCTAGCAAAGGGCTATGAGAAATTTGAGGAAGGAGGAAAAAATTACATTCACTGAGAGGGAGGGATGGAAGGGAGGTCTGGGGAGGAACCATTTGGGGGGAGGGAAGAAGTGGTCTGGGAAAGTTTCCTGGAAGAGGTAGCCTTGAAAAAAGGAAGGAATTTGAATGGGCAAAGATATAGGATAGATGACAGGGAAGGTTCATTCCAGGCCTGGGGGAATGATTTAAACAAAGATTGGGACAATGGGAATGCACTGGACAGAGGACAGACTACTTGAGCTGGACCATAGAGTCCAGGAAGGGGTATAGTATGAGATAAGATTAGTAAATTGAAGCCAATCATAGCAGAATCATAGGATTTAGAGCCAGAAGGGACCTTAGAGATTCAGCTTCCACATTTTTACAGATGAGTAAATTGAGACCCAGAGAATTAAAGTGACTTGTTCAAGGTTATACAGAGCTGGGATCCAAAGCCAGGTCCTTTGATTCCAAATCTAGCGCTTTGTTCTCTGCAGTCTGGGCTACCTCTCTCGAATGCTAGGCTAAAGAGTTTATGCATTATTCAGTAGGCCGTGGGAACTGCTGAAGGCTTTTGAGGAAAATGAGTGATGCGATTAGAGCAGTTGATTAGGAAAATTCTCAGGCCTTAGTGTGAAGGTTGGGTTGGTGAGGAAGTCTGGGAGAAGAATGCTATCAATACTTACATTGGAAGGCTTGGTTGTACTAAATGACTTCTGTGATCCCTTCCAAATTTAAGATTCTGTGACAGGAGGGAGTCAAGGCCCAACCACTGGAAAAGATTTACTATTTTTAACTCAGAGAAACTGAGGAGCAGTGACTTGGGCATGGGAGGGGTGAGATTAGGGACCCAGATATTGAGAACAGAGTAGCAAAGTTGGACTTGGTCATAAGGATCAAGGCAAGAGACTGGCTGCTGAATGTTGTATAAAGTCAGAGCAAAGCAAACTCTATGGTGAGTCTAAGAGTTCTTGGGCCTGGCTTGCTGTCAGTCCTCCCAAGCTCAGACTTAGATTGCGCTCAGTCTGGTATGGATGGTTCAATGGCTGTACCTATGAGATTAAAATGGTAAAGGATGTGCAAGGAAGCAAGAGGGTCATTGCACCAGGTAACATTTTCACATGTTCCCTTGTTTGTTTGTTTGTTTTTTCTCGAAGGGGAACTTTACTTCATGTCTACTGGAGTGCCAAGCGCCACTTCGGCAAGTGGAGTCATTTACAAAATGGTTGACCCTTCCAGGTAAGGCCTGCTCTAGTTTAAAAAAAATGTAGTGTTCATGTGCCTGGCTATGATACATTTTTCAGCAATCACTGGCCCCAAAAGTCTTATCCAAATAGAAAACGATCACAAGCCCTATTCGTGTTCCCTAATGCCATCCCCTCCCCATCCTGGGCCATGCTCACTTTAGAACCCTTCAGCATCGTAACTGGCAGAGATCTTAAGTTCACATAAGATAGACGCCAGAGTTGAAATGAACTTCAGAATCCTAGAATCACAGAGCATCTGGGACTCGGTGGCTTTCTCAAGGTGTTTCTTCTTCAGGCAGGCTAATTGAATTGTCCAAGATCCCACCATACACAAACAGCATGCTTTGGCTTTTAGTTGCTCAGTCTTGTGCTTAGTTCCCTGATATCTGTCTCTTGTGCATTTACTTGACACACTAATAATTGATATAGGTGGCTCATTTCTGTGCCACCTACATTACTAGGCTATTGAAAGGAATCATCAGGGAAAGGCTTAATGTTGGCAGGTGGTGGCAGAGAGCATCGTGGTCTCCGGAGGAGAGACTCCTTTCAGCTGCCTATAAGCTCTATTGGGACAGGTCTTCAATTTGATAGAGTCAGCTTTCTTGCTGATAGAGAAGAAGTAGCTTCTAACAAAGAGCTAGTAACAGAGAGTCCTGTGTCTGCACTCTGAAGGCACCTCCAGTGTGACCACCATTTTGATTCATCAGAACAATATCACTGCCGTTACCCACAGGATCTGATCTGTTCTTGATAGAGCAAACCTTGAGAATGCACTAAGGTCTAGTTCCCGGGTGCTAAAGGGGATTCAAAAGTAAATAAACTTGCATGCTGCAACTTGCAATCTAATCTTCAACTGGATGTGTGATCTAGGATTCAGAAGCTCCCTCTTGTAATGCAGATTGCACCCCATCCATCCTGTGTGATGATAATAGTCTATTGGAGGGCTCCTTTCCTGCTCTGGTGGCTCCAGTTTTATTAAGCACTTAAAGATAATCAGCAAGGGAGAGCTGCATGAATGTACTACCTGAAGTCTATTGGAGAAGAAAAAAAAAACATACCCCCAAATCAGCAAAACATTTTATGAATCCTGACATCTGGTGTGGGAGAGATCACTTTTCCATGTGGGGATCAGGGAAGATTTCATGAAGAAGAAAGCACTGGAGTTGACTGGCAGAAATAGGGGAAAGGGTACAGTTTTTCTGAACCCTTAAATGAACCCAGCTCTGCTGAGAAACACTGTGGTATAGTGGACAGAGTGTTGGGTTATGAGTCAGGAGACCTGAGTTGGAGTCGCAGAGATCTGACATTTGTTAGCATATATGACTGCTCATTTGTTGTTGTTCAGTCATTTCTGTCATGTACAACTCTTCGTGACCCCATTTAGGGTTTTCTTGGCAAAGATACTGGAGTGGTTCACCATTTCCTCTTCCATCTCATTTTACAGATGAGGAACTGAGGCAAACAGGGTTAAGTGACTTTTCCAGGGTCACAGAGCTAGTAAGTGTCTGAGGCTAGATTTGAACTCAGAAAGATGAGTCTTCTTGACTCCAGGCCCAGTGCTCTAACCACTGTGCCACTTAGCTACCCTATGTGACTATAGTCAACTTATTTTACTCTCTGAGTTTCAGTTTCATCATTTGTAAAATGGGAATTATAATACATGCATTACCTGCTTCACAACTTGTAAGGATAGGGCTTTGCACACCATATATACACACATTTGTGTTATATATCTATCTATATGCACATTATATATAAATATATAATCTACACATATTTACATATATTTATATATACACATACATGCACACATGTTATACAGACAATTTTATCATATGCTGCTGAACGGAGCTAAAGGAAATCACAAATCCTTGCTGACTGGGTCCACAACAGCTTTATGCTAGCTAAATCAGAAGGGGCCTCCTTGCAGCCAGGCAACCCTACTCCTCCCCTAGTGATTTTTCATCCCTATCAAACAGCCACTGTTTTAAACCTGTGATTTTTACCTTGAATCTCCAACATTCCATGTCATTCTCTCCCTCCACCTTCTCTGCTGAAAACCTTAAGTCATACTTTACTAAAAAAAAATTGTGGCTTTTCACAAAGACCTCTCTCTTCTCCTCTTATTTCCCTCCTGACATCATCCCCTACTCTCTCTTACTTTATTTTAGTCCCGTTGATGAGGTAACTAATGTTTGCCAAGGTCAGGCCCTCTATGTAGACTTGATCCCATACCTTCCTGTCTATTCCAGAAGATTGCTCCCATCATTATCCCTGATCTCTCTCTACTCATTCCTTTCCTGCTGCCTACAAATACCCTTCCCACCCTTGAAAAACCTACATCCTCTCATGTTATTGTTTAGTTGTGTAAACTCTGTGACCCTGTGGATCATAACACCCCAACGCTGCCCATGGGATTTTCTTGGCAAAGATACTAGAATGGTTTGCCATTTCCTTCTCCAGAAGATTAAGGCAAACAGAGGTTAAGTGACTTGTCCAGGGTCACATAGTTAGTAAATGTCTGAGGCCGAATTTGAACTCAAGTCTTCTTGACTCCAGGCCCAGTGCTCTATCCATTGATCCGTCTAGTTGTCTCCTATCATGCCACCAGCTTTCCCTCCTACATATCTTCACATTTTCTCAATTGAACTCTTTGAAGATGACTTTCACAATTGGTGTTTCTAATTCCTCTCCTCTCACTCTCTTCTAGATCCTTTTCAATTTGGCTTCTAACATTATTCAATTGAAACAGCCTTCTCCAAAGTTATTGATGGTCTTTTAATTGCCAAATCTAATGACCTCTTCTCAATTGTCATTCTTCTTGACCTCTCTGTGACATTTAGCATAGTTTACCACTTGTATACTCTCTTCTTTCTGAAATTTTTCTTTTCTTTTCTCTTCTTTCTTTCCTTCCCACCTTCTCTTTCCCTTTTCTTTCTTTTTTCCTTCCTTCCTTTCTTTTTTTTTCTTTTTTTTTCTAAGGCAATTGGGGTTAAGTGACTTGCCCAGGGTCACACAGCTAGTAAGTGTCAAGTGTTTGGTCAGAGGCCGGATTTGAACTCAGGTCCTCCTGACTCCAGGGCCGGTGCTCTACCCACTGCGCCACCAAGCTGCCCCTTCTTTCTTTCCTCTCCTCTCTCAGTTCTCTTATCTTCCTGTTCTCTCCTTTTTGTTTTGTTTTGCTGGCTCTTCTTCCATGTTGTGCCCATTAAATGTGAGTGTCCCACAAGAGCTTTTACTGGACTTTCTTCTCATTTCTTTGTTTTTCCCTTGGTGATATCATGAGTTTTCCTGGAATTTGGTTTTTATTTCTGTGCAGATGATTCTTACATCTATTTTTCTAATCCCTATCTCTCACCTGAACTCTAGTCCCGCATTACCAACTACCTCTTGAACATTTCAAACTGGATGTCCTGTGGTCATCTCAAACTCAACATATCCAAAGCAGATCTCATCTCTCCATTCAAACTTTCCCTTTGTCCCAAATTTTCTGTGACTGTTGAGGATATGTATCACCATCCTCCTAGTCAACCAGGTTCACAGCATTTGTGTTATCCATTCTCACTCACCCACATATCCAATCTGTTTCCAAATCTTTTCATTTCTGCTTTCACAAAGCCTCTTGTAAACAGCCTCTTCTTTCCACCTACTCAGTCACCACCCTGATACAGGCCCTCATCACCTCATGCCTGCACTATTGCAGCAGCCCTTTGGTTGATCGCCCAGCCTCAAGTCTCTCCCCTTCCCCTCCCCCCAATCCAATCAGTCCTCCACACAGATGTCAAAGTGATTTTCCTAAAGCTCAGGTTTGACTATATCACTCCCTTACCCATAAACTCCACTGATCCCTCTTATCTCCAAATAAATAACTGAATAAAGACCTTCATTTGGTATCTATAGCTCTTTACAACCTGACCTCTTCCTACTTTTCCAATTTTCTTATATTCTACTCCGTTCCCTGTACTCTGTGATGTGGCCGTACTGTCCTAATTACTTCTCAGCTCTGTTCTTCTGTACTACCTGGTCTCCATGTCTGGAATGCTTTCCCTCCCGATATCCAGCTCTTAGAATCCTTGACTTACTTTGAAGACTCAGCTTGAGTGCCGGTTCCTCCAGGAGATCTTTTCTAGTCCCCAGCTACTTGTGCCACCCCTCCCCAAGGTTACCTACCATCTACTCTGTATTTATCTTCTTTGTATGGACTGGTCTGTGTTCTCTTTCCCATTGCAATGTAAACTCCTCAAGGGGAGAGATTGTTTTGTATCTGACACATAGCTAATGCTTAATAAGTGTTTGCTGACTTATACACGTACCTAACCCTCCCTCCTTCTGTCCATCCTTCCTCCCTCCTTCCCTCCCTCTCTCTCTGTGTCTGCCTCTGTCAATGTACGTTTGTATATACACACACATACACACAGGTATTGGTGTATAAAACAATGTATACATATATATATACTTATATGTGCATACATAAATATATATAAACACAGAGTATTCCATATCTATAAATATATATTGGGATAGCTATAGATATTGTTACAGTGCTCTGTCAAATCTGTCCTTTTGCCACTTCTATTAGACTTTTTATTAGTGACTTGCAGGAGGTCTAGATGGCATGCTTATCAAATTTGCAGATAACATGGAGTTGAGAAGACTAGGTTCTTATCAAGTTACTAGGTAACAGAGTCAGAATCCGAAAATATTTTTTAACAAGTTAGAATATTGGTCCAGATCTAATAAAATGAAATCTAATCAGAATAAATGTAAAGTCCTACACTTGGATCCAAAAAAATTCGACTGCACCAATGGAAGAAAGGAGAACATGACTGGCCAACAGAGCATGTGAAATTTGGTGAACTGTATTTTAGTGGATGGCAGCTAGGTGGTGTGGCAGATAGTATACTGGGGCTGGAAGCAGGAAGACTTAAGTTCAGATCCAGCTTCAGACACTTACTAGCTGTGTGACCCTGGGCAACTCACAACCCTGTTTGT